CACGCACACGGGTGAGAGGCCACACCGCTGCGGCGAGTGCGGCAAGGGCTTTTCGCAGCATTCGAACCTGGTAACGCACCAGCGCATCCACACGGGTGAGAAACCCTACGCCTGCTCGTACTGCGCCAAGCGCTTCAGTGAGAGCTCGGCGCTCGTGCAGCACCAGCGCACGCACACCGGGGAGCGACCCTACGCCTGCGGGGACTGCGGCAAGCGCTTCAGTGTCTCCTCCAACCTGCTGCGCCACCGGCGCACGCACTCGGGCGAGCGGCCCTACGTGTGCGAGGACTGCGGCGAGCGCTTCCGACACAAGGTGCAGATCCGCCGCCACGAGCGCCAGCTGCACGGCGCGGGCCGCTCCAGGGGCCTCGGCCTGTTGCGCGCCTCGCGGCCCGCAGCCCTTGGTGGCCCAGCCCGTGCAGAGCAGGCCGCCACGGCCACTGCGCCCGCAGACAAGGCGCTGTGAGAGCCGCGATCAGGGCTGCCTGGCCAGGAGGGGACCCCCTATCCGCCTCCACCTGAAAAGCTCCTTGACCCGGGTTCATGGGCGCTGGAGGCATCCTGGAATATCCCTGGAATAAAAAGCTTCCACCATCATCATCATCATCTCCCAGATTCCCTGAGAAAATACCAGGTTCACAGATTCACCGCCAGAAAAAAACCATCCGCCAAAACAGAAGTGGACTGGGACTGAAACAGCACGCGGGACACGTTTGTCTGCCCTTGGAGGGGCCTGCCAAAAATTTTCGCTCCGGGAAAACTGGACTTACTACGAACGAGGAAAAACTCCCAGTGGCGAGACGATTAATGACACTGGCCGAGGACTGGATACCCACCAGGGGATCAAAGACGTGGTGAGACACACATGGAAAAGCTTCGATCCTGGCGAAAATGATCCCAAGGAAAAATTCGGGGAAGAAGCAAACTTGTTTGCACTATATAGAAACTGAGCAAGGCATTGAATCGTCCTCAGTGGCATTTGCCTTGAAAATACTTTCCAAGATGGAAATTCATCAGGGTGGGTATAATTCTGATGAAAACGCCTGTGTTCATCAACACAGGGTCAGAGCGCTCACGGGATCAATGTGCAAATCCAAGCCAGGAAGTCCTGCTCCGGGTGGAAGGTCAAACCTTCCCTCCAGGGAACCAGGGGCTCCGGCGGGCATCGGAGGCAAGTTCTTGGCCTCTGCTGCCAGGTCCCCCAGTCCCCCCAGGCCGCATTAATGTCCTCTGGAATAAGAGCCTGTGGCTGAAGCAGAGGGCCTTCTGCTAGAGTTTTCCAGGGTCTGGAAGGAGGGTCCTCCAGAAGGAGCTCTGGGGTAGCCCCACTGTGGCCCCCTGGACTCCACCAGCTTCATGCTTCTCAGATACTACCCAGGGGCCGGCACTGGGAGTCCGGGGCAGATTTCTCCTGCACCAGGCTATGGGGGTTTGGAGGGCTGCCTGAGCAGACCCTGCGCCATGGCTGGGGCTGGGGGAAGAATGTCTGAGACAAGGTTTGGGAGCAATGCTCTTTACTACGTTTACCAAATCGTCTGGGGCAGGGGCTGTGAGCTGCAGCAGTTGCTGGTGCCTTGTGGGAAGGTGGGGCAGGGAGGACGCTGCCCGTCACCTCTGTCCCCAGTCACTTCCTGCTTGACCTGACTCTTCACATGTGGCTGCTTAATTCCTGCCCCTCTCTTCCCCAGCTGCTTCTCCTTTACTAACACACCTGCTACATTTTACACATGTGTTGGTAAGTGAGAAACAGAAACGAAAAATAAATTAAAATGCAGAAATACAATGTTCTTGTCTTGGTGTTTTCACCTCTGGGTTTTGTGTCTTCCATAGGGCTTGCTTTCTTTTCTTTCTTTCTTTCTTTTTTCCTTCTCTTCCCTTCCCTTCCTTTCCCTTGTCCCCCTTTTCTCCTTTCTTTCCTCTTTCCCCTTCCCTTCCTTTCCTTTTTTCTTTCTTTTCTTCTTCTTCTTTTTTTTTTTTTTTTTTTTTTTTTTTTGAGACGGAGTCTCGCTCTGTTGCCGGGCCTGGAGTTCAGTGGCCGGATCTCAGCTCACTGCAAGCTCCGCCTGCCGGGTTTACGCCATTCTCCTGCCTCAGCCTCCGGAGTAACTGGGACTACAGGCGCCCGCCACCTCGCCTGGCTAGTTTTTTGTATTTTTTAGTAGAGACGGGGTTTCACCGTGTTAGCCAGGATGGTCTCGATCTCCTGACCTCGTGATCCGCCCATCTCGGCCTTCCAAAGTGCTGGGATTACAGGCTTGAGCCATTGCACCCGGCCTTCTTTTTTTTTTTAATGTTGTTTGGGCTGTTCTCAAACTCCTGAGCTCAACTGATCCTCCCAACTCAGCCTCCCAAAGCACTGGGATTACAGGCATGAGCCACCACACCTGGATAATTTTTAATTTTTTTTCTTTTTTCCTGTAGGGACAAGGTCTCACTCTTCCCCAGGCTGGTCTCAAACTCCCAGTCTCAAGCAGTCCTTCCACCTCAGCCTCCCAAACTGCAGGGAGTACAGGTGTGAGCCACTGTGCCTGGCCAAAGGATCATTTCTTTCTTTCTTTTTCTGAGAGAGGGTCTTGCTCTGTTGCCCAGGCTGGAGTGCAGTGGTTTGATCACTGCAGCCTCAAATTCCTGGGCTCAAGCAATTCTCCTACCTTAGCCTCCTGAGTAGCTGGGACTACAGGTACATGCCACAATGTCTGGCTACTTTTTTTTTTTTTTTGAGATGGAGTCTCGCACCATTGCCCAGGCTAGAATGCAGTGGCACGATCTCTGCTCACTGCAATCTCTGCCACCCGGGTTCAAGTGATTCTCCTGCCTCAGCCTCCTGAGTAGCTGAGATTACAGGCACCCACCACCACGTCTGG